CAGTACCATTCTCGCACATGATCATAAAAGAATTCATTAATTCATCATCAATTAGAAACAATCAATTGAACAACTATATCATTCAAGAATGTTTAAAAACATGCAAGACATATCCCCCGACATTTAATAGACACATTGACCTCAATGTAGGAGATTAAGGTAGAATTTATGAAGTTACCATCAGGTTGGTTGGGTGGGATGGTAGGAACACAAGTGTAGTTCTTCTTGTACCTAGACAAAGAACATTCATGCACACATAGGAGAGAGAGATGAGGTTTATCCAAACAGAATATATAAACTAGCCTGCCACACACATAAGATTATTATATATACTAAGTATCTAAGTCTAAGTATTGAAAATGAAAAATTGCAAACATCAATTTAAGTCAATTACAATAAAAAGGAAAGTAAGAAAAGGATATGAATTGGCCCTGCAGTCCCTAGTGGAACTAATCATCAACGGATCTGCAAAAGGTGTATCTGCATAGGGAGGATTGATCAGGGATACATTCACTCCAAGATAATCCATGCTAACATGGTGCCAAGTAATGGAGTGTCTCATTGCCTCGGCTTCCCTATGCGCCCTCTTGAAAAATATCTCCTTATTCATCAATATTGTTGCTAAGTGGGCTCGAGAAAAGTGGTCAATCGCTCCAAAATAGTTGGAAGCTTACTGCTATGAAGCCTGGTGGTTGTGGAAGTAGGTAGCATCATTTGTCCTTTAGGAAGCTGTGTCATCCTCCTTTTCATCATTGCCATCATCCTCAAACTCGACATCTGTAGTCCCTAACCTTGGTGGAGAACGTCGAGAATGCATTATGAGTCCCATCATCATCCTCGACCTCGTTTGACGTTTATCTATAGTTCCTAGAAGAAGAGGAGAATAGTCCAACTATCCAATCTGCTCTCTACATCATATAAGTATATGTTTAAGTACATTGCAAGTCTAGTAACATAAAAGCTTTCGTGAAGAGCTGCTTGCTTCTTGTAAGAGATGTAGCGGGTTAATGGCCACAAGATGAAATGTCCTATATAAAAGGATTTCTGAATCTACATGCTCCATGGAATATGGACATCTCATGCTAAAAATTTATGTTGCTTCCATATCTCCCAGTCATGGATCTAGCAATCTGTGCTGGATCAACCTCCACTCCAACTTCACCTCCCTTCCCTTTGACAGCCTCACATTCCATCATTTTTCATATGCCTTCGGGCACCTTGAGCTCTGACTCACAAAATTTTCCAAAATTGGGGAACGCGTGCTCTTGAGTCAATGAGGCAAAGCTCAAAGAAGATTACATATGCTCCTGAGGGTATATATTCAATGCCCTTGTAAATTCCTTTATTGACATCTACCTTGATCATCCTCCCAATCTAAACTCGATGTTCTAAAACTTTCATGCTACACCGTTGAAATTCTTGATTGTCACAAAACTCAAGAACTCGATCATGAGGAGCCTTTAAATCCTCTCATGAATATAAAAAATATAAATCAACTCCTGGCTAGTTGATCTTTACTCTAATGCTCTCATCCAACCCTAACTAGCCAAAAAACCCAATTGACAGACTCACTCTCTCCAGTTGGTAGCTCACAAACTCTGAGGTATCGGTCAGTCTACTCACTGGGATTTCATCAAAAAATGTATGGCGAAGGTGAGGCATCATCAACCTTAGTTATCTTCTTTGGTTTCCTAGTCCTTAGTGCTATAGTTGTTAGGCTTATTTAGCTTCTGGTTCTGGATTAGGTTGAGAATCTTTGTGTTTTTATTGAGGCATCCAACCACGTCTCTGATAGTGGTATGTTGGAATGCTTGTACTAAAGTTTTAAAAGTATGAGAGTTAAATATTTCTCCTCTTAGTAACCCGAGAAAGAGGTTGGAAGGTCCCTATTTATAAGAAAACTCAAGGCTTTTCTCAGAAGGATGGTCCTTTAGAGATTTTTCACATGATACACGTTCAAACACATAACCCTTGAGTGGCTCAAAGCATTCTCGGGGCTTTTCTTCAATAACCAATGAAATCTTGACCTATTTGTAACTCTTCAACTTTTCTTTGCTTTTGCCTTTATGATACCATTCTTCAAACTAGAATTTCTTAAGTCTTGTCTTCTTGATATTGGTCCCGTTGGAGACCATAAGTAATTCCTTTTTAGTTTTTTTTTTTTTTTGTGGGATCATCATACACCACCTTCTTATCATTCTTTTGGAATCTCCTTGTTCTTTCTTCGAATCAACTTTTGATACAATGTTGATCCATTATATCTCTAGACTTGATGGTGGGGTAGATGTAGGAGCCAGTGGATCGCATTTTGAATCTATGTTTTCTTATTTGAGTAGCTTTTGAAATGTAGGAATGAGAGTCATGTTTCCACTCACATCAATGGTGATGCTTGTGGTTATTAAAAACGGACGCCCAGGTATGATAGGTACTTCGATTCAACCCATTGTAATCCATTATCACAAAGTCAATGGGGTAGACAAAATGAGCACACTTTACTATGACATTCTCAACATCATGATTAGGAGTAGATACCAATTTATTTGCAAGATGGACTTGCATACTTGTTGGTGTGAGAGGCCCCAAACCGAGCTCATTCGCATAATAATGATATTGGAGCCAAAGTAAGCTAATGGATCCCAAAAATTCCTCTCGTTAAAGGTACATGTAATGGTGAAAGCTCCCACATCTCTTAGCTTTTGTTGTAAACCTTTGCAAACAATGGTAGAGGAAGAGACGGCACTCAAAGTGACCATTGGCATTCTTCCATCTTCTGCTCACCGGCTAAGATCTCCTTCAAAAAATATACTGGGAACCTTCATTACAACATCCAAGAAAGGAATGGTTACATTCAGTTTCTTGAGCACATCCTTCCATTGACCACGCTCATGGTTCAAGTCACTCTCGAAGGCTCTTTGTGGGAATGACAACTTAAGAATGAACTCGGGTACATGAGGCTTTTTCTTAACCTCACCTTCTTGAATGTCCTTTCTTCTCTCCTTTTATACCTTCATGGGATTTTCCTTCCTCAGAATGAGGTTCTTCAACTTTATCAACTTTGCTCGGTATATCCAACCAGGGCATTACGAGTTACCAACTTAGATATTGAATCTATAGTTGCATGCCCACTCCTAGCATACTTACATAATGTTTGTGCAACGATGCATCTTGGAGTTTGAGGTTCATATGGTACTTTGTTACTTTCTGCCTTTGAACATTGATCAAGAGAGGATTAAGGAAAACAGTTTTTATGTTATTCCTTTTGTGCTCTCTTTCTAACTGATGGTAACAAAAGTTCATAGAAATCTAAAGCACCAATTAGTTAAACAGGACCTTGAGCTTCTATTTTGAGCTTAAGCTTGTGTGTCTGGCTCCTAGTTTGTGAGGGAGTCATGCAAAGAAACTACCTTATAGAGAAATTCTGGGAGACAAGTTGTTATGGAACTGCACCAAAACTATCAAATTATGTCTCAAAATGGCACATTGCTTGTGAGCAATAGAATCTGTCTATAACATGTTAAACAAAAATTCAACGAGAAAGTAAAAAGAAAAAATAATAGAAACACGACAAAAATGAAGAAAAAGGGGAAAAAATACTAAAAACAAGACTATAGAGAAAACAAAGTAAAGAGAAAACTCTAAACTCAAAATAAACTAACATAAACAAACAGAAAAAGTAAAAGTAAAAAACAGAACAATATCCCTACTCCCATTCAATAAGGAAGTGAAAATCCCCAACCACAGTGCACAATTTCTTATGATGTAGAAAATTAGTCAAATTTACCCAAGTAAGTAGCGAGGATCACATTTTCTTAGGGCCTTTCAAATCCCACTACTCGGTTGATAGCAATTTTGTTCTTTGATTTAAAATAAGGTTTGAGGTTGAGGTGCCCCTGCGAACAAATGCAAGGTTAAGGTGCCCCTCGAATTTCTTTCACAAAATAAAAAATGCATGAAAAGAAATTAAAAACAAAATTATATGTGGAAAAGGGAAAAGGAAGTTGTTGCAAAGCCAAGCTCCCTATCGAGTTTTCTTAGACATGCTTTAGAATGATATGCGTCATATACATATGAGATACCCACCTTTTGTTCAATTGCGGTTGTGCAAGGGAAATGGTCCCTATAACACCATTTTGGATGCTAATCTGGCCCTCAAGCTACTAATCTCCTCTGGTTTGTGGTGAGCTGCTCTGTCGACAGAGTAATCCTCTATCAAGATTTGTCTTCAAATGCTAGCCGAGGGATAAATCAATAACCATCTCATTAAATTATTTTTTTCATCAATGATGACATCATATTTAGTGATAAATAAAACCAATATTACAAAACTTAAAAAATTATATCAAAATGTTTTAATTAATTAATTATTACTAGTTATATACAAAACTTAAAAAACTCTTGTCCTCTCACGCCTTGTGGGATTTGTGTGCTTTGTTTAATAAAGTTCATCATCATTATCAAAAAAAAAAAAAGGATTGAATTATCTAAGCAAGTGACGAAATCAACACTAAGTTGGATTTGGACAAAAAATTAAATGGTTATAGAGAAATGTAGCCCTAGTACTGTTCGAGCATAAGCACTTTTCATATAGCTAAAACCCCAAATTTGGCACAACTTTTAACTTTTTCGGCTTTAGAAATGCGGATGGTTTGACAAAATTATGAGTGTTAATAAAGAATTGAACTCATCCAAATAAATCTCTCAATTAAGCAATAAACCAAATGAAAATTTTGTCCACAATACGTCGCTGAATGTTATATTTCTTTCTCTTTTGGAATTAACTATCAGGAAAAGAAAAGTGGAGAGGTCGATCCCTTTCTCTGGGAAGAAGAGATCTTAGTGATCCCCCTTGACCCAAGGTCAAAGGCTCTAAAAATAAAGCTAACTTATTTCACATTTTAAATATTAATTATCAAAACCAAAACATCAAAATGACACATTTAAGACATGTATTTGGGAGTTGGAAATTGGCCACAACTACTTTAAGGTTGTAGCAATAATTACATGCATGATTGAAGATTGTAAACTCCTTTAAAATATAATTTTTACATTGGAGGAAGTTGATGAGAGGCAAAATGCCAAAGACGTATAGCAACATTACAATAATCATACAAAACTATATTTTTTTTCTATAGTGATGATCTTTGTTTTCTAACTTAGCTCTCTCCTCTGTATATATTTTGGCGAGTATGGACGGTAAGCAATAACTAAAAGAAATTGAAGAGGGGCGTGGTGTTCTCTGGTCACTTGTTGTGCTTCATTTGGCAACATTTGTGGATTCTTTTTGAATACATGTTTTCTACACCGTTCAAAAATGTTGTCGTATATCAAATCAAATTGGACTCCTGCCCTCTCTCTGTTGACTATGAACAATATGTGATCTCCCTCAATAATCTTGTAGTACCTACATCCAAATTTGCCCACATCCCAATTAACTTCTCTTTGTTAGTCATTCTATCTTTATACATCAATCATAAACCAAAGTATAGCTTCCAATAAACATATTCCGAAGTTTAGAGCATAACAGAGAGAAGGAGGAACCACTAACCAGATTCCCGGTTGCAAGGATTTCACACTCGGAATCATCTTGGATAAAATGACTTGGGTGCTCAATCGGGAATCGAGGGTGTGTCATGGATATGGTGTTGAGGGCCCCATCATTATCCTGCCAATCCTCATCTCTGTACAATGAATTGATCTAGTTATAAATGATCTAAGTATTATTTCAGAGACATTTAAGAATTTTTAGACTACTTATTTAATGATATTTTTTAGTGACTGCACTTGTCAATCATTATAGAAAACTCAATTCATTAACAATTTAACTGCTATATAATAATGTACGTGAAATTAACCTATATCCTTTGTAAGGAGGAGCAACGTCAGAAGGATGGCGCCACTGGCTCATCTGAAGAACTCTGATGAAAAGCATGGGATGGATGCCAAGGATGCTGGAAGGCATAGTGATACCCATGAATTTTCTGGTACGCTTAGTTGCATAACTGAAATAGTATGTATTGGGGAATGTTTGTAGATGGGAGTTGATTTCTATAGACCCTTGGATTGTAAGGTCGGGAAGTATCCAATCTCCTGAAGTAAATGGGCCAGAGTTACCTAGTAGGCAATCCACCAAACCTGAAATGCTCTTTTTCTTCCAAGTCATGTTGAAGTGATCAAACCCAAAATTATAGTAAGCCTTCAACCAAGGTATGTCAAGCCAATCATAGACAATCGACGCCAAGACGACATATTTGAAGCAAACATATTGATTTCAAGCTCTTTCCATCTTCAGGACTGCATTTATGTAAAGCATCGTCATTCATCGAAATTTCATATCACTAAAAATTAATTCACTTACATAGATTTAAGAACACAAATCATATAATTTGAAGAAGAAGAAAGGACCAAAAGGACTAAACCAAAGAATGCCAAAATGGACCAGATTTCAAACCAAAGCACTCACTACATCCCATCCAAGTATGTTCTTGTAGTTCCATTAAAGGCTCCTGATAAGGATGTAATGCTCAAGACCCAGTTCTCAGAAGTTCTCTCGTAACCATTGAAGGCCTATAATAAATTGAAGAAGAAAAATTATCCATAGTAAAAATTATGAGTTTCAACTCTATCTTAAAGGGATGATGATAATTTGAGGATGAAACTAGCCTTGTCCGCAAGCATTTGTTGCAAAACTCGAACAACCTGTGCTCCAGCAGAATGGCCAACAAAGTGAATGGGGTGATCTTCACCCCATTTAGGGCAATTTCCTGAAATTTTAAATTCCAATTTACCAAATCATTCTCTAAAAGTAAAAGAAAGAAAGCTCACCAAACAAAAAATGGGGAGCATTGTAACCTCGTTCATACGTTCTTCCGAATTGGGAATGTCCACAAGCTTTGCTATGTTCTTCACCATAATCAACCTTCCCTCCTTTCAGATAATAAAATAACTCTCTTGCCCTAGCAATTGGCCAGGAAAACCATCATTAGTTTGAAAAATTTTTAATTAAAAAGAATATAAAAACAAAAAAAATGATGAGCTATAGGAAATTTATGAGAAAGACCTATCATAAATGCTTGTAAGGGAACCCAAATCAGGAACAAGAACCCTCTCATCTTTATTTTCTGCCCCAGCAAAATACGATAAACCTCCCAATCTCTGAAGATAATAAAACATCCATAGAAAATGGGGCAAATTAGAATGAGATTTCATAATCTAGAGAAATCCATCTCAGAAATCCTCCCAAGTAAAAAAGGGGAATTGTTCATTGAAATTTTTTTACATACTCCTTTACCGAATCCAAAAATTCCATGGATCAAGACGATTGGGGGAAGTTCATCGAGTCTAGTGCTAGCAGAACTTGTCACGGTTGTTGATTCTTGTTGTTGTGGTTCCTTAACAATAAGGTCCATGTTGGGCTTGAAATACCAATCACTCAATCCTTGAGAGAGGTCCCCAGCAACTGCAGAGCTGAATATGTAGAAACCATAGAGCATATGCACAAAAGCGCTCACAAATAGCTCTATCAATTGAACCACCAATGTCCAACACCTCATCATTTTATCCTTTTTCTTGTTCCTCCTATAACTTGTAACAAGTTTTTTAAGAAAAACATAAAAGCGAAGAAGAAGAGCCTTCTTTGAAACTTGCTGACCAAAAAAACAAAGAAGGCCCCCCTTGGTATCCTTTGATAAGAACCTCCCTTTCTGCCGGCACAGTCAAATCATAGGGTAACCTTGAAATGAGATGGTAGACAAAGGGATTTGACAAGTTTTGGGTAAGAAAAGAGAAGAAGAAGAAGAAGAAAAAAAAATAAAGCAGAAAGAGAGAACAATTGTTTCCTCTTTCTATTTGTATCATCCACAATCTCACCTCCCTCATTGCAAATATAAATGGGAAGGAAAATCATCTATATGTTTGAGCCTCTTCCTTCACTTAAAAAATGGCAATATGATACAATTCTCTCGTTCCTTGCCTTTTATAATTAGAAAAAGACATGTATTTAACAACAACATAAAAATAAATAGAGAACAAGACAACAAGTCCAAACCCAACCAATCATAGTAGTGTTTTGTAGTTTAAATTATATGAGCTCGCCCCACATGAGTGAACAAGTCGTGAATGGAGTAAAGGAGGATGGCCATTGTGCATTTTTACTAGATGTTCAGAATTGCTAAGCTAGGCTTTCCTTCAAAAACTTTACACAAGGTCCATATTGCCAAACTAAATTCATATTCTTTTAATTTTTTCCATAAAAAAATGTTTGTGATTTTTTTATTTAAAATATCTAGAGTCATAAGTGTATATGCTCTAATTCCAAAATAAACTATAGTATAAGAGGGAGCTAGTTGAAAGGTAAGATAGTTTAGGATGAATTGAATATTGTTAGAGATTCTAGGCATGTGTATCAAAGGGAAGTGTAGGTGTTGAATGAGAGTAATAAGGTTTTGAGACAAAACTTTTGCATAGAAGGAATGAGTTATTTGTGATCTATTCGATTTATAAATTTCTTGACAGAAAAAATACAGGACTAAAATGTACGACATCGTGCCACCCTGGTATAGCGGTGGCAACTGGTGGTAAATAATGATGAATCTGGTAATGAAAATTTGTATATTTCTACTCTCATGTATTCAACCGTCCTGCACTACGGTATGTTCATACCACCATGGTGCACTTCCATACCATGTGATATGATCTTATTTAATACCAATAATTACCACCATGGTATAGACTAGTACAAAATATTTCATTTTTGCTTCAAAAATATATCGAAGTGGATGTCATTTTGAAGTGCACAATTAATTTGATTTATCTATGCAAGAAAATTTAAATTATGACTTCAAACGAAAGAGATATAATCCGTTAAAATTTACAGAGGAAAATGTTAGGGGCTTTCCATAAATGGTGATATGTCAGGTTATTCATGGTTATTGATCCTAAGGTTACTAACCAAAACTACTCCCCATAGTCGGCTCTGGTTTCTTCTTATTTAGTCATCCGCTGTGGTTTTGGTTATACAAGGGTGCATAACATGCCACATCGCAGTTATGGAAGACCTTTAACGTTTTCCCTTATAAATTTTAACGGCTATCTCTCTTTCATTTTAAGTCGTAATTTAAATTTTTTGCATATCTAAATCATATTAATTGTGCTCTTCAAAATGATTATTCACTCTGATATATTTTTGGAACAAAAAAATTTGAGACATTCATTACCAGTCTATACCATGGTGGTAAAGCTTGATACTACATAAGATCATACCTCGTCGTCTGGAAGTATATCATGGTGTATGATTGTTGAATACATGATAGTAGGAATACACACATTGTCATTTACTACATCCATCATTGTTTACCACCAGTTACTACCCCTATACCAGGGTGGTATGAGATGTTACAGTTTAGTCATGTATTTTTACCACAGAAATTTCTAGATCCAATAGATCACGATGACCTCGTTCTTCTATGTAAAAGTTTTGAAATTCGAGTTAAAAATAAATGTGCTACCAATGTGGTAATGAGTGGTTTGGAAATTTTTCCTCGAAATATATTAAAAATGGATATCATTTTGTGAATCACAATGAACTCGTTTTATTTGTGCAAAAAAAAAATCAAATCCAAATTTGAACGAAAAAATATAAAAGCCGATTAAGAAAACTAGAGAAAATAAAAAAACCATTAATTCTCACTCCTTATATCTAGGTCCATCTAGCCCCACTCAAATCTAAGGGTTCATATTTGATTATATAATGGTGCATAAAATTTGATTATGCACCCTATCTTAGACCGGTTTTGGGTAATGAGAATAAAAGCTGTGGATGGGATAAAGAGATTGTTAGACAAATTTTATATGATATCTGGACTTAAATGCAACATGTCTAAGTATCAGCTCTTCTGTGCTGGTATATCTAAAGTAGAGCGGCAGGCTATATCATATCATACAGGGTTTCTATTGGGTGCATTTCTAGCCTGGTATTTGGGTGTTCCCTTACTTCCTGGGAAGTTATCAGCTTAGGATTGTCAAAATTTTGGTGGAAAAGATTACCAAAAAGAATTACTACTTGGCAGGCCAAAACACTTAGTTATGCTGGGAGATTGCAACTAATCTCATTAGTGATAACAAGTGTCTTTCAATACTGGATGTCGGTTTTTTTGCTACCACTGAAGGTATTAAAGTTGATATAAGAAGGCTGCAATAAATTTTTATGGGGAGTTGGCACTGAAATGGAAGGAAAAGGGCTCCTGTAGCATGGTCCAAGGTAGCTCTGTTGAAACAAGAACAGGGTTAGGGATAAGAGATTTCAAGACGTGGAAAAGGCCTGCATTATTCGCCATCTCTGGAACTTGCTAGCAGAGGCAGGATCACTATGGGTAGCTTGGATAAAGAAATACAGATTAAAGGATAAAGACATCTTGGTTATCCCTGCTAGCTCAACAAGTTCGTGGGTATGGAAGAAAATTCTCAAGTGCAGAGAGCATGCTCAGTCTCATATTACTGAGGGCAGGTATCACTCTTGCTTGGGATGGTAATGCTCTAATCAAATATTCTGTCAAATTGGTCTGGTCCTCAATCCAAACTCCTTCACCCTCTGTTGATTGGTCCTCTGTTATTTGGGGAAAGACATTTATATGTAAGCATAGTACACTTATTTGGTTGGTATACTGCACAGAGTCGCAACTAAGGACAAGCTATTAAGTTGGGGGCATGTCTTGTGATAGCAACTGTGTGTTATGCCCAGATAGACTTGAGAGTAGAGATTCATCTCTTTAATGTGTGTTCTTATAGAAATGCAGTGTTGCAAATTGTGCTTCATAAGATTTTCAGTTGGCCCTCTTTCTTGGATTGGCAGACTCAACTAAATTGGGTGTCTTAGAGATGGGTTGGCAATACAGTAGCAGCCAAGATTGGTAGGCTATTATGGATTTTGTGTGGTGATTATATGGAGAGAAATATGTTCTCGATTGTATGGTGCAGGTAGAATAGTTTATTCCTTCCAAGTCTTAATGAAAGTAGTGCAGGAGCTGAAGATTTGTTCTAGCAGCAACTTTCCTTTACAGCAAATGGTCTCTGCAATTCTGGGTCTATAGGCTTCTTTTACATTTTTAGTTGTTCAAGAGTATAGATTTGTTGTTGAGTTTTGTAACCGGATTGACTTTTTGAGAGGGAGGTTGCGAGTTGCATCTCACAGGCTTCAATGCAATTTTTGATTAAACATCAAAATAAAAATAAAAACGAGTTGTAAAATCAACTGTTCATTCATCTTTGACCATTGTTGCATATGGAATCATTCCGTGATTGTATAAATAAACCCTCAAACTTGGTCATTCTACTCATCCATAATTCAACCTTCTTTCTTGCAAAAAGAAAACATTCAACCTTCATTTCATCTCTCAAGTCACCCAAAACTCTTTTGTCTTCATGGATTTCCTTGACAGAAGCTTATAAGAGCCAGAGGGAAGATGACGAGAGAGAGAGAGAGAGAGAGAGAGAGAGAGAGAGAGAGAGAGAGAGAGAGGGGGGGGGAAAGCTTATGAGAGGCAATGAGAGTATGTGTGTCAACTTAAGAGTGAACGCACAAAGTTGTTCATTTTATACAGGAACAAGCATGCACCAACATCAAGCAACATTATCTGGGTATAGATCATCATCACGAAAATCATTGAGGCGTAACAAGGAAGACGTTCATAAGCGCTTGATGCAAGATGATTCGGGCCCAAATGTACACATTTTACCCCTCATTTCTTATTCATTTAGCTTAGTATTTCATCGTTCCTCGACATATTTCATGCTAGGTTGTCTTTGTTTTGATACATTTAAGGTCCTAGCACGTGTGGAAGGGTCGAGGTCGAATTTTGGGATAATTGGAGATCAAAAAATGCAAAAATCGAAGAAAAGTCCGAAGTCCGTGATAATTGCCTCGTAATAGTGAAGTGAAGGTGTCCCAGGAAACAACCGCAGTTCACGGCCGGACGAGGCAGTTCACGGTCTCCTAAGACAGTGAACTTCTACCACAAACCGTGAACACCGAGGCGTCCAGCGAGGTTCCTGAAGTTACTAACGACAAGGCAGTTCACAGTCTCTAAGACCGTGAACTGTGGCCATTGACCGTGAAGCCAGGAAGCAAGGCGGTGGGTTTTGGAGATAACTAAGTTGACATACGTGTTTAGGTGTTCACAGCCGTGAACTGGCCAACGCGTCCGTGAACTGATCGCTTTCAGGAAAATATGAAGACAGCAGCGGGGAGAGAGAAAAGAGAGCTGGTTTTTTTAGAAGAATTGGTTTCTCTCTCTCTAGGGTTTGCCCAAAAAACCAAAGGGGAGTTCTAGTGAGAGAGAGAGAGATAGAGAGAGAGAGAGAGAGAGAGAGAGAGTGCTAGAGTGATCTTGGAGCATCATTGGAGGCTTGGGTGGAGATTCAAGAGTAGAAGAAGAAGATCTTGAGCTCAAATTTGTAAGTCCCTCTCTCTCTCTCTCTCTCTCTAGAAACTCACTCTCTTTTCTCTTGGGTGTTGTAGATCCCTAACTAATACTTTGTAATTACTTATTTAGATTGAATGATTGTCATTGGGTATTGTTTAATTCCATAATTGTGGTATTATTCATGTTGATTGTGCATGTTTGTGCTTAGCAATCTAAGGGTTGTGCATGTTTTTTGCTTAGAATTCTTAAGGTTTGTGCATTTTGGTGCTTAGCAATCTAATTAGCCACTTTAACCTAGGTTAATTTAGGGCAAACCTCAATGTTGAATTAAGCAAATTAGTTAAGCGTGATTAAGACGTCCAACCTTGAGTTGAGTGAGGGAGTAAGTCACCACCGATTGCCTAAACCGAGAG